TTGACTAGATGGACCTTTGTTGGCAAAGTGATGTCTCTGCTCAGAGGCTGCTCTAGAGTGGGCCCCACTCCAGACTAGAGGGGGCTCCTTGGCTCCCTCCAGCAAGCTCTCATGATGAGTGAACAGATTCTGAGAGCTGGGCCCTGGGGGTCCCTGTCTATCTGGAGGAGCAGTAAGCTCTGTGGGGGCTGCAGGAGAGAACACAGCACTTGTGGTAAAGGAAGCCTCCAAACAAGGAAGAGGACACAGCTGGTGGCCCTGCGCCCTCTGGTGGCCTCTGCTCCTTACTGCGGCCTCATGGCTTTGCTCTAAGGCTCCATGTCCTTGCCTGGTACGGAATGCCAGCACAGTGCAGTGCAGTGCAGACATTGGGGCTGGACAGCCTGCGTTTGAAATAATATCATCTCAAACCCAGGGAAGGTGACTTAATCACTTTGTGGCTAAGATTCTTCCTTTGCAATAGGTTGATAACAAGAGTATCTACCACTCAGTTTAAGGGGAAATCTGATCACCTGCATCAAGTTCTTGGAGTAAGTAATGTAAAGAAAAGGAAGACATGGTGACTGCCCTACTCTGACTTCTGGGGTCAGCGTTGCTCGGGGACACAGCTTGAGAGCAGGGCCGAAGCAGCCTTGACCTGGGGTTGGACTCTGGCTCTGGAGTAGTCACTTACCAAATGTGTGGTTGACTAGTTTATCATATGGAGGAAGACACCAGGAGGTTAAGTCCAAAATCCTCTGGAAAATCATGTTGGCGATAAATACAGTGTCTCAGTAAGCCCAACACAGCCATTTTCCCTAATTCTTGGTTACAGTGGAAGTAGGTGACTTGCATCCAACGGCAATGTTTTACAGAACATGTATCTTTACCCAGTAGAATGACAGTGTTGAGATGCTCAGACAAAAAGGAACCTGAAATAGACAGGGTTGTACGGGTTAAGTCAGAAGCAGGGACAGGTCTTGGGCAGGATCATGGGGTTGGTAGGAAGTCCTCCCATTCCTGAGACAGACCATAGCTTCAAGTCTACTTCCCACCAGTGTTGTCGGTCTTCCATCAGTGTCATCGAGCACGTTTCCATAATCAGGTTGGGACACCACCACTCATCTCATAGGATCACTGGTGCTTGGCTCTTAACTAGCAATCTGTCACTTCTCTAGCTTCAACTCCACCCCTTCTCCATGCTACTCTATCTTCCCAGCCTGGCTCAGAATAGTGATATAAATGGAAATGCCTTCCCTGTCCATCTAGGACCCTATGAGGACTCAAAATAGCCCATGCCCACCCAAGGTTTCCCTAAGGTAATGCCCCAGCCTCAGTATGACCTAACTGCTCACCCCCAGAATCTTCCTGCCAGGGGGCACCTTCAGAGTAGCTTCCCCAGCCAGTGTCCCTGTGCTGGCATTTGCTCCCTGTCATGGGAAGTCTGCACCCCGGACAGATGGGAATTGTGGCTTTCTTATCTCTGGATTTCTCAGGGGAAGGCCTGACACTGTGGGCTCCACAGATATTAAGAAGCTCCACTTTGACCTCTTGGAAAGAGCTCTCTGGGAAGGTAGTGCTGGGGGCAAGACTAGGGTCTGGGGAAATCCCCCTGAAGCAATGTGGAGGGTGTAAGAGAACACAACGTTGGAGTCAAGTGATCTGGATTCAAACCTCAGCTCTACCACTTGTCAACAAAGGATCTGGGGATGCTTTCACACCTCTGTGTGAGTTGTTCCCACAGGTAAGATGATGATAACAGCATCTACTTAGCATAGCACCTGGCACATACTAAGTACTTTTTATGTGCCGGGTGCTGTTCTAAATGCCTTAATTAATTTAATCCCTCTACAACTGTAGGAGGCAGGTATTATTCTCACTTTATAGGAACTGTAAATGAGGAAAATGAGGCTGAGAAAGGAAATAATTTCCCCAAGTTCACAGAGCAAGTGAGATGGTCAGTAAATAGCAGCAATGACTGTTCTGAGGCAGCAATACATGGGACACAATCTCCGAGACTCCAAGGAAGGAAAGACTGCAGGCTTTCTGCTTCTGGACTAGCTCCAATCTTGTTCCCTCAACTGCAGCAAAGGACAACAGACCAATTGGTGTTGTAAATAGAGTTAACATAATATATTTATTTTAAGTGCCATTCATGCATATCACTTCTGGCAGCAACAATCCTAATGACACTTGGAATATTTCTTTACAGCACTAAACAGTTACAAAGAATGGGTGCCGTTCATCATAGAGGCAAAATATGAAATCGTGCAATAGCAAAACTGTAGAAACATTAAAACACTGACTGGCCAACAGCAGTACAGAGAGCAGATTGTGTTTGCACAAAAAGCCAATGCATTTCATCACATATATACAATATAGATATGTACACATCACCCTCTGAATGAACAATATCAAAATACTCTATTCCATTTGAAATAATCCCCAGATTGATTCCCTCCCACTTCAAAGGACATCTGAAAGACATGTATTTACAAGAACACACATGAATACATTTACATTTCAAAAACTGCCACAAATGCCAGTCGGATTATTCTCCTGGACAGAGTGCCCCCATTTGATTATATGCATTTGATTCTTTTCCCCAAGTCTTCAGTCAATTTAAGCCCAAGACAGAACTTGCTTTGCAATAACAACTACCCACTGAGACAGCCACTAGAGGGATGCGGTGCACCTCGCCAGGTAGCTGTGTCTGGCTGGAACCACCAGGAGGCCTGTCCTGGGCTTCCCACTCATGTGCATTAACTAGAGTGGGATGGGTCTGGGTGGAGGCTCTGCCTCCAGGGCCATTCATGGTAAGTTTAAATTGTCACAAAAATATTCATCACTGCAAATCAGTAAATGATTGCTGAATGGGAAATTAGCTTCACACAATTTGTAAAATCTTCATCAGTGGTTTCTACTTGAATCACTCAGTATAAGCTACAACATTCCAATACTCAAATTGTTTAAAGTGCACACTGCTACCCACACAATTTAAAGTTTCAAAACAGCTATTTTGGTATCTAGAGAACAATGACTTGTGCAGACTAAGAATCACCCTCCCCCCTTTTTTCCCAAGCTTTTTCTCTGCAGGCTGCTATCTCATCTTGCCTCTGATCCATCTAACAGGGGCCTATTGGCTGCCTTTCCAGAATCCCCCGATTTTTACTGATCCAAGGGACTGGAACTGAATTTCCTTTTTCATGCCAAGCAGGGTCCAAACAACAGGAACATAGAGCCCTTCCTTTCTCCCCAACCTCACCAGCCCTTACCATGGCTGGCTTCCCAGTAATTCATTCAAGGCAACACTCCATTAAAAAAATACCCACGGACGTTCACAAACACTCTCACATACACACAGAGAAATAAAGATGTTTTGCTTAGTCCAAGTAGAGATTACTTAATCACAGAATCAGTAAGGGTAATTAAAGTGACTTAAGCATGGCTGACAGAGACTAGTAATGCTAAAGAGCAACCAGTGAGCAGTTAGTACTCCTTGATTTGATGGAACATTTTATTTTCCCATTAGAACTGGAAAAAATAAAAAATCTGTTTTTGGCCTAAAGAACCAATTAAAAATCTATTCATTGAAAAAAGAAATCTCATTTCTCTCAGTTTCATTATAAAACTAAGACAATCAATCCATGCAAAATAACTGTGATATAAAACAAAACAAAACAACCACCAAAAAAACAAACTAATAAAAAATCCTAAGATGCAGGCTGCATTCAAAGAAAGGAACCAAACGGCATGCATACACACACAGGACAACAGAAACTGCAGGCCACGCAACAATAACTGCACTGGAGAGTGAGGCAAATAAAACCCACGTGTGGCTCTACGCTCCTTTCAGTGCTCCCTAAATGGAAAGGGAATGGGGGGGGGGGGGGCGGGAAGTTGCTTTATAAGCACTGCCCTGCTGTTCTGTTGCCTAAATGAGCTCAGATTCAAATTCCAGAAAATCCTACTGAGCTAATGTCTCAATCAGCAGGAACGCAAAGACAGAGAATATACTCACAAGGCAGGAATAATGACAAAGAGAAAGACACAATCTCTCTCTGATTGTCTTTTCTGTAAACTCTTATCAAGAAAACTAATTCTGTGCTTGCAGACACTGCATTTCTTCTTAATGAACCCAACAGGAGTTGGGCATTCACAGAAGACAGCAATAAATATTAAAATAACACTTTTGAATAATAAATACGTAAGTGAATGTGGAGACACTGATTTGTTTAAAAAGCCAAGAATGCCCAGATTCTAATCAATCAAACACATTCAGAACTGGCAGACAGTGCAGACTTAGAAAAACAGATGCTGACAAGGTACAACACGAACTCTAGAATCCCCCAGGCATCAAAAACATCCGGTCAGTCCTTCCTGCTCCTCGGGAACAACATGCCCCTTTAGATTGTTTGGAGAATATCAAACTCTGGGTTCTCTATGACTTACTAAGGAGAACTCAATACTCACATGTTCAAAAAAGATTTTCAATAAGGGGAACTGGGCTTTGAAAAAAATCTATTTCCTTTCAGTTGCCTACATCAGTTAAAAGCATCCTGCAGAAAATAGCCTAACAAGGAATAAAAACTTACAGTAACTTTCTTCTCAAGACATAATAATCCAATCAGAAAAAAACTGAAGTCTTTTAGTAATTTTTGTACACATATTTATACATATGCATCTATAAACTGCTTGCAGCAAAACAGGCTCTGTCTGAAAAATCAGTCTGGCACTTGTGGTCAACATCAAACTGACACAATATGCAAAAGCTGTTCAAATCACACAACAGTTAGGAGCTACATAGGGCAGCTGGCGGGAGACAAACATGTAGTACTCGTCTGGGTCAGATAAAAGCAGTAAGTCATCCAGCTAAAATCTTCTTGATTGTCTTCAAAAAATTTTTGATAACATTGGTAAAATGATTAGCAACTTTGTTTTCTCAACTGGATTCTCTTAAACCTTTCCCTTCCACTGCACAGAAAAGGTGACTCTGGGTCTGGTGCCTTGAGAAACACGCTCTACACAATGGAATCCCAATCAAAGTCGTCCTGGATGTCATCCGGAGGCAGAGAGCGCCGCATCTGGAAGGCTTGGGAAGGCATCATGTGCTGCTGGCTCATGGCTCCGTGATGGCCTGGAAGGAAGGAGGCAACATCAGCAGTGACTTGCGAGGGAAGAAAGGAAGTAGAAACAAACACCTCAACACTTCTTCGTGCCAGGAACTCAACGCACATGCTCTCACTAATCCACCCAGAAGTCTCTACAAGGTTCCCTTATGATCCTCGTTTTACACGTATTCTGCACCCCACCCCTGTCTCTGAAACAGGGAGTTCACTCCCTCCTGAGGTAGCCTCATTCACTGCTGGGAAAGCTAAAAAAAGCCTTTCAGCATTAAACTCTGAGCACCAACCCCAACACATCATGCCTCAAATTACCTGCAATCGTTGTTCCTGGAGTGCTGAGTGCCTGTGGGATGTGAGGATAACCAGGGGGTGGCATCACTGAAGGAGGGAGATTTTGCCTGGAGTCTATGTACAGATTTCCTAATTAGATTGAAAAGAACAAAGAAGGAAAACCTATTACCATAAGTAAAACAAATCAAGCACAAAAATCTTAATAGAATTGTTACCTAAAACTAAATTAAGCAGGTAAAGTGAAGATGAAAACAGAAGGGAGATTCTCTCCTTCTGGATGCTAAAACTCTGCCAGAGGTGATGCTGGATTTTCAGACAGGGTGCTGGGATGGGTGTGAGTACACTGGTACTAATTCTGGCACCACCTCTAATTCTATGGAAGCTTGCAGGCCAGTTATGTCTGTTGTTGTTACATACCTTATCATAGTTCAAAAGCATTTTCATATCCATTAGTTCATCTGAGTCTCCCTCTAGGCCCACAATGAAGGCAAGGCAGGGATTATCCCATTTTATAGATGAGGCAACTGATGCTCAGAAGGCTGAGCTGACTTGTCCAAAGACACATCAATCTGACAGAGGCTAGGGCTACAATTCAGCTCTGACTCATAGGTTCTTTCCAGTAACAGTTGTCTCTACTGCCCTGATGTTCTCATCCTGAAAGCAGACCTCAGTGTGCCCAAGCTGATTAACAAAGTGACTGAAGGCACAAAATGATAGGAAAGATTTATATAAAGTAAAAGAGCCACCTCGAAAGTGATCAACAATGCATTATTTAGAAGTGTGAAAATGGGAAATATAGATCTTATTTAAAGAGCATTTCAGAGGGTTCTTAAATTAATATGCTTTCACTGACAGCAGTCATCAAGTATAACAGCTCCAAAACATCAATTACATTGCATCCTAATGCAAAACAGAAAGGGAGGGGAGGAAACACCACGCAGGCACCCACAGTAACTCCTGGGGAAGAACCATGGTCACATCAGTTTTACATTATGAAACATCTGGAATCCTGGAAAGGCTTTCCCCCTAAGGAATGCTAGTGTTTCACAAAGATTACACTTGCACTCTAGGAATACCGTAATCAAACTAGGAAACAGTGATCATTTTCCCAGAGAAAACAGAAAGAGAAGAAAAGTCTTCCTTTTGTATTCAAGGTAGGGCACACCATCTTTGGCCACTCCGAGTTTCTACCTGACACTGGAAAGTTAAGACTGTCCAAGCTTGAGACAGCCTCAGAGATAATCTAACCCAGCCCTACTTCTGTTCATATAGGTGAGGAAGTGAGATGAGAGATGATGGAAAAGAACCAGGGAGAGAACCCAAGACTTCTGACTTCCAGCTACTGTCTCCCAAGATGACATGCTTTTTTATAGAAAAGTTTAAAGTCAGAACTGAGGTCTTTTGACCAATCTGCCATACGGAAGACTTCAGAAGAAGAGAAAAGTTATACGAAGTTGTAACTCTAGTGTATTTTTGCAGGACAAAAAGTTCTGCCAAGTACTGACCAGCCTTCACATTTGTGGCTCATGTTCTTTCTTAAGGCTGAATCAGGCTACGGGGTTCACTCCTCTGAGTAAAGGAGGAGACAGGTGAGAATTAGGGAAGAATTATGAAAATAAACAAGATGATGGGCATAAACTGACACCCACATTAAACAAGTGGCCTTAACTTTTTGAAACTGTCACATTCATAACACTTTTATTTTCATGGAGAGATTCTCATTACTTCTCATCCCCACCCCCCACCATGTTCTCATTACAGACTGAACAATGAGCATGTACTTGGACTTTCTAAGCAAGAAATTAACTTACAAAACAGTTTCCAAAGATTTCTGAGATCTTATAATATTTAGAATGTAGTCATGAGAATTTAAAAATCTACACTGTGCTGCACACCTAAAGCTAATATTGCAAATCAACTATATTTCAACAACAAATCTAATCACAAAACATATTTCTTAAAAGCAGACTTTGGTTGAATGACCATTTATTCATTTAAGAAGTATTTGTGCTAATAAGTGTAAATAAAAAATAAAACTCCCAGTCTTTTTGGAACTTGTTTTCAGATTATTGGGAAGGATGAAGATGGGAGGAAGGGAGAAAAATAAATTAAATAGCACATTATATACACTCTGGAGGAAAATAAGGTAAGGAGGGGGAAAAGGAGTGCTGGACAGTAGGCACTAAGTAGGATGATCAGGGAAGTCATCACTTGAGTAGGTGCTTTTTTAGGGAAAAACCTGAGCCATGTATCTATCTGGGGAAGTCACTCAAGACAGAGGAAAGAGCAAGTGTGAAGGCCCCGAGGTAGGTGGCGTGTGTCTGGGGTGTTCAAGTAACAGCAGGGAGGCCAGCAGTGAAGAAGCAGGGGGTGACAGGAGGGGAGGGGAAAAGGAGGCGAGGCCCGAGAGTAACGGGGGAACAGACTACGTAGGGAACGGAAAAGGAGGCGAGGCCCGAGAGTAACGGGGGAACAGACTACGTAGGGAACGGAAAAGGAGGTGAGGCCCGAGAGTAACGGGGGAACAGACTACGTAGGGAACGGAAAAGGAGGCGAGGCCAGAGAGTAACGGGGGAACAGACTACGTAGGGAACGGAAAAGGAGGTGAGGCCCGAGAGTAACGGGGGAACAGACTACGTAGGGAACGGAAAAGGAGGTGAGGCCCGAGAGTAACGGGGGAACAGACTACGTAGGGAACGGAAAAGGAGGCAAGGCCCGAGAGTAACGGGGCAACAGACTACGTAGGGAACGGAAAAGGAGGCGAGGCCAGAGAGTAACGGGGGAACAGACTACGTAGGACCACATGGCCACAGCATAAGGACTCTGGTCTTTACTGAGAAAAATGGGCACTAATGAAAGGTTCTGAGCAGAGAAGTGATCCGACTTCTCTGTCACAGAGAAGCCCACTTAAACTGCAAAGTCCAGATGAAATGTATCATCTTGTACAAAGCTTTTCTTTCTCGATAAAACAGGTAAGCCCTTTTCTCTTATTCTCATTGCCCTGTGGCAGAAAAGTAGTCCTCATAATACAGTATTTCTTGATAGACTTGTCTCTCTTATCAGGCTGTGAGCCCCTTGAGATCAGTGACTATTTGGGAGAGAACTCATTATTCCTAGTTCCCACTATATAGTCAGCCATAGGAAAGCTGTAAACAAATGTTTGCTGAATGAACGCATGCACACCTATTTGTATTTAATGACCTTTAAGCGGAGTATCACATTAAGAACAGCACCACTAGAGGACTGAAACATTACTGGACAAGACAAACTGTAAATACAGGTAAAACAATTTAGGAGTAAGAGGCAATACACTCGTGTGTTACAACATCCTTTACTTCTTCCCCCTTCCACATGAACACATTATAACACTAATTTCTGGCATCTCTAAGAAGCCCAAAGAAGTATTTATCAAAAGGAGAGTCTTGAAAACATACAGGACAGGAAGAGTTTGAACGATATGGAGAGGCTATATTCTGGGAGTCAAGATGTCTATCCAAATGAACTTTGCCATCTCAGGCAAATCACTTTCTCTCTTCTGAATCAAAGTTTCCTTACTTGTTAAATAGAAGGATAAAAATAACAGCTCTCTGAAGTCCCCTCTTACACTACATTTCTAAGAAAATGTGGTGAAGAATTATTGGGGGATAGAGATGAGAGAAATGAGATATCTGAATAAATGTGAAATAAAGAGGGATGCAAGGAGGAGAATAAAAGAATGACACAAAATGGCTAGGACTTAAAACAGAAAGCAGCAGGCAGGCATGTTAAAAAAAAAAAAAACTGAGTGTCTGCTGAACAGACATCAACAGCCAAGAGGTGACAGATACTTAACACCAGAGTTGATCAACATGGCTTACCAGGCCAGGGCTGGCTAAAGTTCTTTTGACTCAGAAGGGAAAGTCTAAAGTTCGAGGATAAACACTATGGGAAAACTATAGGTCTTCTGCGTCTGGCAGGCTCTGAATGGAGTAGCACTGAGAATCAAGAAGGAATTGGGGGACCCTAGGAAGAAGGGAAGTGCTAAGAATAAAAATGAAAGATGGCAGGAAAAAATTAAGAAAATCATAGCCACAGGACTGGAAAATATCAGTTTTCATTTCAATTCCAAAGAAGGGCAATGCCAAAGAATATCCAAACTACCACACAATTGTACTTATCTCACATGCTAGCAAGGTAATGGTCAAAATCCTTCAAGCTAGGCTTCAACAGTACGTGAACCAAGAACTTCCAGTTGTACAAGCTGGATTAGGAAAGGCAGAGGAACCAGAGATCAAATTGCCAACATCTGCTGGGTCACAGAAAAGGCAAGAGAATTCCAAAAAAATATCTACTTCTGCTTCATTGACTATGCTAAAGCCTTTGACTATATGGATCACAACAAACTGTGGAAAGTTCTTCCACCTCACCTGCCTCCTGAGAAACCTGCATGCAGGCCAAGAAGTAACAGAACCAGAAATGGAACTGGTTCAAATAGAGAAAGGGGTATATCACGTCAAGGCTGTATGTTGTCATCCTGCTTATTTAACTTATATGCAGAGTATAACATGCACAATGTCGAGCTAGATGAAACACAAGCTGGAATCAAGACTGCCGGGAGAAATATCAATAACCTCAGATAAGCAGATGACACCATCCTTATGGTAGAAAGTGAATAGGAACTAAAGAGCCTCTCGATGAAGGTGAAAGAGGAAAGTGAAAAAGCTGACTTAAAACTCAGCATTCAAAAATCTAAGATCATGGCATCCAGTCCCATCACTTCATGGCAAATAGATGGGGAAACAGTGGAAACAGTGACAGACTTTATTTTCTTGGGCTCCCAAATCACTGCAGATGGTGACTGCAGCCATGAAATTAAAAGATTCTGCTCTTTGGAAGAAAAGCTATGACCAACCTAGACAGCATATTAAGAAGCAGAGACATTACTTTGTCAACAAAGATCTGTCTAGTCAAGGCTATGGTTTTTCCAGTAGTCATGTACGGATGTAAGAGTTGGACACATTTCTAAACAACTCTCTAAAGAAAGCTGAGCGCCAAAGAATTGATGCTTTTGAACTGTGGTGCTGGAAAAGACTCTTTAGAGTCCCTTGGACTGTAAGGAGATCAAACCAGTCAATCCTAAAGGAAATCAA